ATGTCGGTTGAGTGTAAGATTTCAAACGGCGGAAAACTCGTGAACGCGGGACCGGCGTTAAAATCTCCAGAACTCCCGAACGAAACGCTGCGCAGTTGTTGTTCGCCCGCCGCCGCGGACACGGCACTGGATCGTCCGTCCGCCGGAAGTCCAATGGCAACGTCGGGTTAACGCCGAAACGTTCGACTCGATCAAGAGCCAACTGAGGAGGAACATGTTTGGCCAGTGGGCCGCGGAACTCGGCTGCGCCACGTCGCCCGGCACGAACGACTTGGAGGCAAAGGCGGAAATCATACGAGACCATTACGAGACGCTGATGGCGATCGAAAAGCTCCCGTGGAGGTGCGCGACGTGCAAGCGCGTCGGCGACGGCAAACCTGACGGCGGTTCGACCGTGACCGCAGACGAACACCCTCCGTCGAGGTGGAAGAGGTTTAAAAAAGCGTTTGACCGCGCCTTTCGCCGGGCACCGAATTGATATCGGTTTTTTTTTTCACTAACCGGTGCGTTCCGTTCTCCTGCAGGATTATGACGTCCGATAAAACGTTTTATGTTAACTCGTCTGCAACGCAACACACCGTTCGCACACTGTACATCGTAACAGGTGCATTGCACATATCTGTACATTTACTTTTTTTCCTCCAACACACTTTATGTTTGATTTTCCGTTGTTTTTTTTTTTTTTAAATACAATTATTATTTTTACAAACCGTACGTGTTGTTCCATGTCGGTGCGCAATCGCTACGATTTGTCGACGCGCGACTCACGATATTTTGTTTCGCATTACCTGATAACGAGTAAGTTATGATGGCGGTTTAACAGTACACGATTTAATGCACGCTATTGGAATATGTTAATGAATCAAAAACCGTCGAGATGCCTATAATTATTTGTTGTAAGCCTAACAGAAATTGGTGTGTTGTACAGAGAAAATATTTATACCATAAAAAATTGGTCAAGTATACATAACATAAAACTTATGATAAAGTGTTAAAATAAAATTTAAAAAAGATTCCCTAAATCTCATCCCTATAACAAAATTTGTATAAATACTTTTAAATTGATAAGCGCGTATTGTTAATGTGTTATAAACTCTAAATCGAGTCAATCATATTTGCTTTGTATCAAATATACTCGAATATTATTTCCATGCACACTTATTATATAATAGGCATACTATAATATTATTAAATCGTGGGATGTCAACTCAATTATTTTTTATTGCAACGGGAAATAATATGAATGTGTGCGAATAAGCGAAAAATTTTTCCAAAAATGTAATTTGTATTTTCAACTTATTTTTAATAAAGGAAGTTGACATGGAATGATATTTTCATTGTCGACTGGAACCCTCCGCTTTGAGTATAGCGTAAAACTCTTACATACATTTCACATCAAAAATATGTTAGGCTATGTTAGGTTAGCTAGGTAAGTATATTATCAGTAGGGCCCGGATTTTAATGCAAAGTGTATATTTTTTTGGTTGATCATACACAATGCTCTCTAAGAACATAATTCGTTTCATGTTACAAGGGTTTCAAAACTATAAATTTTATTTTGCATTTTTTTTTTGCATATCACGACGTTTTTTCAGTTTTCAGAGCATTTTAAGTATTATTGGGTCATCTTGTTTGGTTTTTAATTCATTTTTGTTTGTTCGATATACTAAACAAGTTTAACTTATTCAAAATAAAATCAAAAGACAAATTATTTTCTTGATATTAAGTAGGTTTATTGGGTTTTTCCGTACACATGTTCAATCTTTATTTTACGTTTCAGTTTTTACCTTATCTTAATTTATTATAAACTATGGAACGCCACCAGTATTCGGTTGAATAACAAATAATCAGGCAGTTCGTTTTAAATCGCAGACGTTGCTCGTGTTACGTATGTTTGTGATTTTAATGTATTAAATAGTGAGTTAAATAATGCCTAAAATAAAATAATGTATGTATTTTTAAGGTAACTTTTTCATTTTTAAGGTTATTTCTGTGGTAAAATACATTTTTTTAAGGACTTTTTGATCACTATTTAGAGCATATTTGTATGGTTTAAAGTGCATTTAAATCCGGGTCCCTATTAACAGTTAAAAAAAAAAAATTTTAAAAATTGAGAAATTAATTATGATGAAAAATTATGTTAGAGGATTATAACTTAGATATATTTCGTTTCGCCTAATTTGGAGAAAAATGTATTTCAGTATTATTATACTAATACATCAATGATTTAGGTTTATTTAATGTTTCATTACAATCAATTACATGTAAACGCACTTTCATAAAATGCTTTTATTAATATACTGCAGGTACCATATTTCCCATACAGTTTTCAATAACAGCAATGCACGGTGAACCATGATGATATTTTTTCTGGAATTTTGTGACCGTTTGACATTTACAACTAGTATTTTACCATTATTTTTATTTATTACAAAAAAACTATATTTTTTCCATAGTTTGAAAACTCTACTCAGAAGCAAAATCCTGAAAACGAATTGAAATAATATTTCATCAAAACTAATGGTTAAACTATAATGGAAAGAAACCATTTTGATGTTGGTACACAATTGACATTGATAAAATACGGTATATATTATAAAATATGGAAATTAGTATACAACTTGAGGTTTACAACAAAGTGGTATAATTATTATTAAGCTATAATATTTTTAAAAAATTAAAACCGTTTTTAATGTCATGGCAGATAGTTTTTACTACAATTTTTTGATAAATTGGATTCGATAATGATATAATATTCATAATTTGTTAAAGTACCTATAGTATAAAAAACCATACCACCAATCATTTCAGGGGTGTATTTAGGGTGGTAATATGGGTGTTAGAACACCCCACCCTCATCGACCGTATTTTATGGTGTTTCACCAAATTGCAAACTTACTTTCAGTTTAATTTGAATACATTTGTAAACAACTTTTAGATTTTACATATAATGTCTTAATATAATAATTTATATAAACACATGGTATTTATTAATATAATACGGAGGGAAGTAGAGCACCCCACTTATCATAAGTCTATTCAATTTTAAAACAACCCGTTAAATGAATCCTGGATACGCCACTGAATCACTTTGATTTAAATTATTGAACCATTTAAATAATTCGAAACACATACTAACGAAAATATAGTTATACATTTTGTATCATACCAAAATTTTGCAGACTGTTTTTTTATTTCATCGTTTATGATTTTGTTTAAATAAGCAATATCTGACTTGGGTACTAGTGATACAGCTTCTACTGATTTGACTTTTTCTTTCCGCACGTTTGCAACATTATCAGCGTCAATTGTCTTATTTTTCTTCAAATCAATCGAATCTAATACTGAACAGTCAATCTGTATACTAGGCTGCAAAATAAAATGTCTGTTTTATTATTATTGTTTCTAAATGCATGTTGTGATAATTTTTTATGTGCCTATACGTACGATATGGACACGCTTTTTAGTTTTATATAGTATTACGAACTTACTTTCGAATTGAAAGATCTATTTTGTTGTTTTCCAATTAATCTTTTTTTTAAATATTGTCTGCGATCGGCAGTGTATTTCAACCACATATGGTAATATTTCTTCAAAGTGTTCTTTCTATAATAATTGACCGCTAATCTTATTTTTTTATCCGTTTCCATCAAGTACGTATTCGCTTATTTTAATATTATAGTAAGCTACTGTATATCTCAAAAATAATTGTTATGTCAATATACACATCTAAATTTTTAATTAAATTTTTTTGTTGATATCCATGTGTATTGCCAAGAGTAACCAGCGTAAAACAGAAACGGTTTTCATTATGCATTTTTGAATAAAAATAACCGATTTTAGGAAGCACTCAGTTGTTTATCCGACTATTATTTTGTGGCTCAAAATATATAAACAGCATAATCATTTAATTATATTTTTTTTAATATAATTACATAATAATATGAAACAACTGGAATAAATTATTTACAATTCAAACAATGGTAATATTAAAATTCATAAGTAAATATGTGTTACGAAATATGATGTTAGATAAAAATAGTATAGACCTACAAAACATGGGTAAGCTGTGAAAATGGATATGTCAAAACTTAAGAAATAGGTTCCTTATATTTTCAAATAGTATAATATTACCAATTTCTTAATAAATTTGTTTGCGTCAAGTTTATTTATTTACGTGTCTTGAATAGAACATACACTTCTTTTCCACGAACAATTACATGCAAATCCCATTTTTAATATCCAAATTTTGCTACATTAGGTGGACTGCACACTGAAGAAGCATTTTTCATTAAAAATACTTCTTGAAACGTGAAACCATACCATTTGAAAATCAATAGATATGCACTCCGAGTCCCATGAAATCAAAATTCTACATAGTTGCGCAACTTTTGTTTCATGAAACTTGTGATTTTGGTTTCAATGAAAAAGTTTCGTAAATTTTATTTAGAAGTTTTATTGAATATGCAAAAAATGTATCAAATAATTTACTAAGTAGACAATACGAGTCTCTGAATTGAATAGTCACTGATGACGTTGTTTACTATTATCGTGTTTTTGTTATATGTGGTCCAACTAACTGCACTAAACGGTGAGCAGTAACTTGAGATATTCTATGTAAACTTTGGAAGTTATTTTTATCTCTTTTTTACTTTTAATTTAAATCGGCGATTAATTCCTTAGCAACTGTATATCTTCTATGCTGTTTATATTTTAAAAGTGGATGTATCCTTTTTTGTCATGAAAACACCAATATAACATAAACACATCCCCATCATCAGACGATATTGTTGAAATTATACATTTTTGGTTTCATCGGTGTACGACGAATTTGAAATTGGTTTCTTCAATGTACAGGTCTATTAGACAATTATTTTGGTTTCTTTAGATTTTTGTAATTCATGGATAACAAATAAATTAACGATGAAATGTAGCAGGTGGTCACACTGTAATTCAATCTTTGCGATCTGTTATCTCTTGATATATTTTGTTTTAGCGGTGCGACTTCTGATACCATCACATCCGATGATAATTTACCGTCTTTATTTATTTATTACTTTTAATAACATCGTTAAAAATTTTTAGTTCGTGAAAAACAAATGGCCAATCGAACAGTAAAAGATGCTAAAACCATTCACGGGACAAATCCTCAGTATTTAATTGAAAAGATCATTCGGTCTCGTATTTACGACAATAAATTTTGGAAAGAAGAATGTTTCGCTTTATCAGCCGAATTATTGGTGGACAAAGCGATGTTGATGCGGTTCATCGGAGGAGTATTTGGTGGTAATATCAAACCTACACCTTTCTTGTGTTTAACGTTGAAGATGTTGCAAATACAACCGGAAAAAGACATTATTGTGGAGTTTATTAAAAATGAAGAGTTCAAATATGTTCGTGCACTTGGAGCTTTTTATATGCGATTGACTGGCTCGTCTGTAGATTGTTATAAATACCTGGAACCTTTGTTAGCTGACAGTCGAAAATTGAGACGACAAAATCGTGAGGGCAAGTTTGAACTCATATATATGGACGAATTTATTGATTCACTACTGAGAGAGGAACGTGTTTGTGATGTTATATTGCCACGTATACAAAGCAGACATGTACTCGAAGAAAATAACGAGTTGGAACCTAAAGTGTCCATACTTGAAGAAGACATTGAAGAAGGAGTCGAATCGTCTGATGAGGAAGAGCCAACAGAAAAACGTAGAGAAAAAGAACACAGAGAAAAACATTCTCCTGTAAAAGAAAAAAGAAGAGACAGAGAACGTGAAAAGAGAAATAGAGATAGAAATGAAAGGAACCGTAGAGACCGTGACCGAGGTGATAGAAGAGATAGAGACCGGCATAGAAGGAGCAGAAGTCATGATAGAGAACGATCAAGAAGACATAGATCTAGATCACCTTATAGGAAGTAAAAAAAAAAATTGTTCACTTGTAAATATATTATGTATTTTTTTAAATTCAAATAAATAATTTTGACTCTAATCAAAATAGTCTTCTATATCAATGTTAGGATCCAACAAATCGTCCATTAAATTAGTTACATCAATTTGGTTCAATATTAGGTTTTCACACATTTCTTCAAGATCAGAATCGCCAATTAGCATAGCTCCCACAACTCTTCCATTTGATATTACTAATTTAACATATTCTTGACCTTCTGTTACACGGACTAATAGCTCACAATGTTTTTTGTCTAGTCCTTGAGCATTAAATAAACCTAATAATATGACTTTAAATCCAAAAAATGAAGTTACATGTGTAAACAGTTCAAAACAAAAATCTTGTAATAATTTTTCATTTGCATACATAGAATGCATGCACTTGGCAGCATACATCCCCATTTGTCTCGCTTGAGTCCAGAGCCTCATTTGAAACCAATGTTTTGAAGTCCAGTTAACAGTACACACATCACCAGCTGCATAAATATTGGACAAATTTGTTTCCATTTTCCAATCGACTTTAATACCACCATCGTTGGCAATGTCAAAATATTGACCATCTTTAATTTCAAAAGTGTTGTTAGGTATCACTCCAGTAGCTGATACAATGAAATCACATTCGTATATTTTGCCATTTTCTAACTCTACTTTTACCAGGTCATTGTCCAGGGAATTTTTAGAAATGTTTTTTATTTCAGTCTTGTATTCGATAACAACATTCTTTCTGTCACTGTTTCCAAACATTGCACCGCAATGCCAGTCAGGGCCTAGTGCAGCTCCAGAACTAGTTTCTCCTCGATACCTAAATCTTTTCATTATTTTGTCACTCGTTTGTAGAATATTTAAATAGTTACCAAAAAATTCTGCAGCTCCAGCGTCCAGAAAATGTGAACTTATATGTTCATCTCTTATAATCCAAATAATTTCTATATCATTCAACTTGTGCACCAAATCAGTGGCAATGCCACCATTACCAACAATCAATACTCTCTTGGCTCGACCAAGGACTTTTTGAAAATACTCAACGGAGTGCGTATCACGCAATCCAATAACATAATCCTTATCAGCCAATAACTTTGGAACAGCACCTGTGCACAGACATAATTTTTTATACTTAATCTCACGACCGTTTAGAGTTTCAATAGTTTGTTCTGTTGAGTTGATTGCTATTATTTTGTCTATTATGTATTCTGTATTCTTGAAGCAATGAAGGTTTTGATCTTCAACATTGAAACCAGCTGCTATTTTTGTGTAGAATTTTACATCAGTAACCACTTTAACTGTTGGAGACTCCGAAATTAAAAGCACGGACTCTGTAGTGTACAATTTCAATGTTTCAACACAACTAATACCAGCTATACCACCACCTATCACTACAAAAGTTGCTTCAAATTGTCTATTTTTTTTGTCAGTGTGATCCATTGTGAAAACTATTCCGGTAATAATAATATACACTCACATTCATATTAAATTGGTATTCAAACTAATTTAAAATTTTTCTACTTGAACCATACGTTTTATTTCAAAAACACCAACAAAACAAACAATGATACTATATGATAACACTATCAATAATGGAGGAATATCAATATTTTGATCACTTCCTGATAAATTTTTATAGTTTAAATATGATACACAAAAATATTTAAATTTAATCACAGTCATACACACAGGGGTATGCGCTTGTTTAAGGGGCACATGAACGAAGTTAGATATAATAAAATTATTGATACAGAACTTTAACTACTTATAAATATACCAGAAATATAATTTATACGCGGTTCATCTAACATGAACATTACGAATTGGTTAGATCGTTTAGTACATAGTGGACGTTCAGAAAATATTTGAGATTTTTATAAATACTTACAACTTTTTGTTACTATTCCTGTTATCCAGTTACACTTGTGAAAGGCATTTTCAAAACTGACTGTTGTAAAATCAAAATTATGGTTAGTGATGACTTATAAGAGACTAGACGTATTAATGTTGATAAATAACAGTTCTGTTGAAACTGACACAGAGAATGTGATTGAAGAATTTTAAATCTTTATACCAGGAAAGAGAAAGCTTGAAATATAAAAATTACGTATAATTTAAATTTTAATTTGAATAAACTTATCTATAAAAAAAATGCTTTTTATTTTACAACAAAAAAAAAAAAAAAAATATGAAAAACTTCTTATTCTTTAATAAGAAGTAGTAACTAGAAGTTTGTAATGCAATATCATGATCATAAATCTTAAGGGCATTTATATCTTTGAGGAGTAGGGGCACATTGTATCAGCCACATACTATGCAAACAAAGACCTCTAAGAATGCACGCCTATGAATATAATTATTATTTATTAATCATTATAGTCAAAAGACTTATTTGTTGACTTATAACTTAAGGCATTTGAAATAAAATCTACCTACTTGTTAATTGTATTTCAACTATTTGATTAAAACGAAATTGATTAAACATTTTATGCTGAACATCGTAAGTTTTAAAAAAATTGTATAAATATCTAATCTCAAGAAAACTTCAACTTTAAAAGTTTGAAAAAAAAATCATATTACATTTTCTTACTCTCTGCATAATTGAGAAAATGTTATGACTGTCTACTTAATCTTAATACATCACATAGATATTTGTATGATTTTATGAATATACTAATGAAAATTACTGAAAAAATGTATGGATAAAAATAATATTTCTCATGGAAAAATGAGTAACATATTTTCTGTTAAATAAGAAATTTATACTTCTCAATTATTTTTTAAGTTATATTAACTGTTTAATGAAGTTTTTTTAATCATCAAAAACTTATATACAACATAAATTATTACAAAATCATGGGTAATAATACATTTTTAATTTTCTTAATATTTTCTATAGGACTTTGAAAATAAATCAAAATCAAAAAAGGTTTTGTTTCTTTTTTTATCCTTAAAAATAGTTTAATAAATAATTTATTATTATTATCACAAAATATAGACTCAAACAGCCTGAAATGGCAACATTAAAACATTGGGATATTAAATATAAATAACGAGTCTTCTTCTTTCTTCATCCACTGTGTCAGTTTGGTTACTGCATTTGTTGCACATTCTTTAGAAACCATTGGTTCAAAGCACATGTATAATTCAACTTCATCCGTAGCCTACAACATAAGTTAAAAATAATTAACCCAATTTTTCTACTACACCACATTATAATTATATATGAAGTATTTACATACCCAAGCAACTATAGTTTCAGACGTTAATTGTTGATAAATAACTTTCAAATTGCGTCCAGGGAAATTCATTTGACTAATTAATGAACAATACACTGACATAAGGTTTTGTTGCAGTGTATCAGTATTATATGGTAATGTAAATGGGGGGCACCAATGTTGAGACCGGTTTTTGATCTTGTACAGAAGATGCCTTAATCCAAGGATATTGGCTCGTGCTAAACTTAACGGTTGACGAATAATAGCATCATTAATTGCTTGAAGACAATCATTACGACGCATTTTCTATTAAAAATATTCAGATTATATTATTTTTTATGAAAATAATTAACTTAATCATCCAAAAATGTAATTTTGGTTGAATATATTTAAACAAAATGCTCAAGTACACAATATCAGATTTTTTTAAAATATAGATTTTAAACACAATACAATTTTAATAGATAAATTAAAATCAATAAATAATTGTCTAGAGTTGGTTAGAATTAACTAGAAATGATTATAATAATATCATGATTCATATTATTTGTTTGAGAACAAGTAAAAAAATAATTTAAGAATAATATTGAATGTTCAAACATAATTTTAAATGTATTTCGGACTTTTTCTTATATAGAGCATCATTATTTTTAATATGATATTTTGAATAACATGGTATATGAATAAAATATTATAAGAATACATACAAACCTCAGTAATTTTTCTTTTTGCTTCAGAAAGAGTAAAAAAAAGGTCATGATCAATAGTCAATAGAACAAGACATGCTTGACAATCTTCAGCTAAATATGAGATGTGAGCATGCATATAACCACTAAAAAATAAAAAATAAAATAAATAAAAATTTGCAATTTTATTCATTGTAAGATAAGAAATCAAATAAATATACTAATTTAGTAGAAATAAGTCACCTAGAATCAAATGTAGGTAAACATATAGGTGTCCAACTTTCTGCCGTCTTAAAAGATTCAGTTGAATTGATAAGATTCAAAATTAAATGAATATCAGAAACTTGCAAAGAATATTTTTTCATACGTACAATTGAAATTATGTGTTTTTGAGCAATTAATAAACCAAATACTAAATTCTAAAACATTAAAACAAATTAATGTTGAATATATTCAAGTTTTAAAAATAATAATTTTATTACTTTTATTTTACTGCATTCTGTTAAAATAGTTTGTGTTATTTTATCTCTGCTATTAGATGGCATTTGAAGACAACTAATGGAGTCTAATAAAAACCCTGGATCATTTTCGGTAAAAGTTATAAGCTTGTCAATGAGTCTTTCAGATCCGCTCATTAATCGCCGCAAATCAAAATTAGTTCTATTGAGAAAGATTTTTTTTAACTGAGTTAGGGTCAGCGTACTGATTATATTATTATACACATATCTGCAAGCAAAGAATAATATTAATGATATTTATTTTAATTAGCTTTTTCAATGAAAAGATTTGTTTGCGGTACATTATAAATTACATTAGTTGTTTTTTAATTTGATCATAAGGTTCAGAACGTTGAGATACACCAACTAATATGATTGGATCTTTGTTCACAAATACTATTCGAGTACGACCACAACAAATTGATTGTAGTGTATCATTTGAATCTTGAGTCACTGACATTAATGCCAACATTAGACCAAAAAGAGAAGCCAACTGATTTTCATTTCCAAACCTAAATTTTAAAGATTTATAAATAAATATACTAATACTAATGTCTAGTAATTGTGTAATATTTACCGTGTGTATATTGGTTTACCAGCTGTACTAAGAACAAATATATGCTTATTGTGCCCCTTTAATTGATCAAATAAATTTTCATATGAATTTGATTGTTCTGAACTGCTAGGTAAAGGTTTATTTTCAGAAATAGATTTATTAACTTCTGATTCTTCTATTGCAATATTATTTACATCAGATACCAATATGCTAATGTCAGTTTCTTGGGCTTCCTCCATATTTTCTATAAAAATAAAAGAATATAAGATATTAACTGCAGAGAGCATTGTTCATGAAATGTAAAAGATAATACTTAAAGTTAACATATTTTGAATTATTGCTCAAAGCAACTTCAGAAAAAATCTGATAATAAGAGAGTATAATTGAAGTAAACTTGTTAAATGAAAACCAAAAACCTAATAATAAGTTTAACAAATGTCAATGAATCCTTAGAAGCTAACTAGTGCGATTTTTCATGAAAATTGAACTAAGATTCCTTACAATACAAATAAATGATTGTTCGGAAATGTTATAAATTTTAAAATTATGTACTTATAAGTGAACAGACTTTTAATTTTTACACACCTGAATACTCTTCAGAAGAAATCATCAAATAACAGCGACGGCTTACGGATACATTTTAGTATCAAAGTTAGGTTTAACTCGACAAAGCAGTAAATATTCAGTTTGTAAAGTAAAATACAAATTTGAAAATAATATCAGAAACTTTCCAAATAAAACTCGTAACACCACTGCCGAGTGTGGATACTTGTTCAAAATGAACCGTAAGTCGGAAGTAAGTAAGCTACAGAGCACCGGGATTTGATCGTGGAAATATTTATGAACGTGGAAGCTATAATTTTTTCGAATTAAATAATTCGAAAAACAAAACAAGTCGTCAATGAACAACGGCGATGCAATTTCAGAATGATAACGGGAGTTAGTGACAAACTGACGGCCGAAGACTCTGTGATAATTATTGAATTGATAACAAACAGACGGTCGGTCGCGCATGCGTGAAAGGGCGTTGGTCTAAGATGCGCACGCGCACTTTCCGGTTAATTTATTTCCTTATCAAAAACGCATATTCATCAAAATTGATTGATAAACAAATATTTAAGCCCGTGAACTGCTGTGCGGAACCGCTGCTGTACAGCTCGTCATCCATTTGGGTATCAGTTACAACGCATACGCGGATATCAGAACAGATTTTCCATACAATTTAACTGTATCCCGTGTGCGGATACCAGTCGCCGTCATTGCCGCCGCTGCTATACCTTAAAGCGGAATCGGTGTCCGAGCTAGACGAAGTGGTTTCAAAGTCCCCGCATTACACATCAATGGCTATGACTTCGGGCAAGGATAATATGGGGTAAATGTTACTTTAATTAATAATAGTTAACCAGTGGTTGCTGTTCGGCATCGTTTGCCCTACCGTTTGTGGCTAATGATTATATTATTGTTATTGTTATCGTTTGACAGGGAGCAACCTATATTCACTTGCAAAGCCCACGTATTCCATATAGATCCCAAGACAAAGAAATCATGGATATCCGCATCTACTGTGGCCGTCAACGTTTCCTTTTTTTTCGATTCCCATCGGGCACTTTTTCGGATTATCAGTGTTGAAGGAAGCAAAGTATGTATTTCAATAGTGCTGTTCTGATCAAAATTCTTAATTATTGTAAATTTTAGGCGGTCGTAAACAGCACGATTACCCCCAACATGTCCTTTACAAAAACTTCACAGAAATTTGGACAATGGACCGACACTAGAGCCAACACAGTGTATGGTCTTGGATTTTCATCTGAACAGGAACTAAACAAAGTTTGTACTGTTGCACGTTAATTTGCTTTTCTGTATTTTATTTGTGTCAATTTATTATTTATCAAATAATTTGCAATAATTTAATTTTCTATTAGTTCATTCACAAATTTGAAGAAGTTAAAGAAAAAACACGACAATGTCCAGCCAGTGGTCCACAGCCGATTCAACCAAATTACATGAGCTCAACTACACCTATTACAAGTGCAAATGCTAGTCCTGTAACTACACGTATAAGTCAATCATCTGACGGTCAAAGCATAATTGAACCACCCAATATGACACCTACAGAACCAAATACTACACCCGAAGATACTAATTCAACTGAACAAATGATTAATCAGATGTCTAAGAATATGATAATATCTAATGCTAATCACGTAATTAGATATTTAATTTAATATTTTTCTTTATACAATATTATTACGTATAATTTATGTTTCAAATTTAGGTTGGAGAAAGTCCAAAACATCAAGTAAGCAACGATGGCCGTTTGATTGGAGGTGGAAATTCTATGTCTGAATCACAATTAAAATATGAAAATGAAAGATTAAAATTAGCTTTAACGCACAGGTAAAATAATATTTCTTCCATAGTTAAATTCAACTGTTAAATTTTTTTTCTTTTATTTATAGCTCAGCAAATGCAAAAAAATGGGAAATTGAATTACAAACTTTAAAAAACAATAATTTAAGATTGACAAATGCATTACAAGAGAGCACAGCTAATGTAGATGAATGGAAACGTCAATTACAATCTTATAAAGAGGAAAATCAAAGATTGAAAAATAGATATCTTGATGGGGAAGTAGCCAAAGGTAAATTTTTTAATTTTTTTTATCATATACATATTTATATTACTGTTACAAGTAATTTATATAATTGAACAATTTTAAAATAATTATTCTTAAGGAGGATCGGAAGTTGCTTCAGAACTAAAGAATGAATTAACTAGTCTTCGCTTAAAAGTTGAAAATTTGGATGGCGAATTAAAGATTAAAAATGAAGAAATTCAAAAGTTGACAATGAATAAAATGCCACTTGAAGAAAAATGCAAAGTTATTAATAATCATAATTATACATTGACTGTTTATTAAATAACAAACTATTTATAGGTACTCAGTCAAGAAAATGCTGAACTTCAAGCTGCAGTCAGCCTAGCCCAAGCACAGTTGGAAACAGCTTTAGCAGCACAAGAATCACAACGACGTGTAATAGATACATTGAACAATAGTCTGTTTGTGCGTATACAAGAATTGGCTGCAATTCACAGAGAAATGACTACCGCTATACAAACCTAAGGTACAAAATGTGAACAGTTTGATTAAAAAAATAACTATAGATGGTGATTTCAAATTTAATTTTATAATGTCATATTATGGTAATGAATAGTATTTTTAATCCAAGAAATTATTGTATAATAACTACAAGAAATAAAATTATGATTGAGGTATACAAAATAAAAAGACAGATTTGTCTAGATTATATATGTACATAAATAAGATAATTACTTACCAATATTTTGCATATTTATAACTTGCCTATTGAATCTTATGTAAATTTTTTATTTATTAGGGTTACTAATTTAATAAATTATATGCATTGATTTGTAAAAAAAATGATCAATTAGTATATTTATAATGAAATGGCTGAAATGTAAATACTTAATAATTAACAGATAATAAAACTTTAATGATTGTTATCAGTTCCTTTTCAGCTATCATATTCAAAATTGATATGAATAATTAGTTAGTATTAATTATGTGCTACTCAAGTATCATTTGTGCAATGTATTTATTGTTTTATATTTTATTCAATAAGTTTCAAGAGCTTGTCTATTTACTTGGTCTAATATTTTAAAAAAAATTGCAAATAATTTATTTATTTTTACAATTTAATTTATTATTGTCTTAGGCATGGACTGTTTTTTAAAAGTTTATTCATTTGATTCCATTGTAATTAATGTATTCCATTTAAACTTTTTTTATTGTGGTTGTATGCTCAGATTTTAAGTAATTTATTCAATTAAAATAATTTTTTAAATATAATAAAAGTAGCTAATTCTTTTTAAGTTAATGTGACTAAAATGTCAATAATTTTTACTACATTCATTTATCACCTATCTTTTCTTTCATATAAATTAAATAAATATGTGTACATTTTGATAAACATTTCAGATTATTTCATCTGGTAAATATATATCTAGTATATGAATTATTTATCAGTAAACTTGATTTTTTTAAATTTAAAATTAACTAAGTATATTTAAGAAGTTTTCTTTATTCTTCAATTAATCTAATTTATTTTTAAATTTCTATTTCTTTAAAAAAAATGTTTTCATTTATTGTTTACAAATAAATTAAACCATTAGTATTATAAAACTACTTAATACATTTATACAATTTTAGATTTTAATAGAGTAAAAAAACCATTATTAGTTTTACAATACATTCCTCCTAGATTATATTACATTTTGGAGCTTTAAACATGACCATAACATTTTATGTTACGCCCATACAGATAAGAAAATAAAAACAGATTTTTCTTTAAACATATCAATTGTTCTAATTTTCGAGAAATTGTGAAAATGGCTACAGTTTATTTTCAGTGAAAAGTGAATCCGTTCTTAATAAAATGTTGATCAATATTTGGTTTACCAGAACTCTGCTCAGAATTGTTTTTTGAATATCAGCAAAGGAATATTCTTTATTGAGCAGAAATTATTAAAATACACCATTATATTGTGTCCCAATACCCTAAAACGCAATTCAAATTTCTTGTTGAACAAACAGAAAATAAAGCAAGAGATGGGTGCTTAATATAAAAATAATTTATTGTTCATTTTATTTTGTATTAACTATATGAACCTGTTTCACTATCTCATTTTATCATAAACAAATTAAAAAATATTTAAACTATTATTCTATAAATTAATACTTTAATATTATGATAACGGTTGATTATAAAAATAATACTTATACCATGTTAATAATTCATACATTATTTGTATTTAATTAATAGTAAATATTATTTGCGAGTTGAATGGTTGTAACCAAAAACATTTAGAAAACATAATGTTTGAATAAATATTTTTATTCTTTGTACATTTCCAGTAGCATTAGTATTTTTGTGTATAATTTTAATTTCAAATGTTTGTGAATAAAAATGGTGATCTACTACTTAATTTAAATATTTATTTTTTATTATAACCTCCAAAAAGGCTGACAAGTATATGCTATGAAATAGTGAATTTATAATAAAAATTCAACTAATATTTGTGATAAAGGTGTATTGAAAGTTGTACGGAGCCACAAATTATGTAATAAGTAGAGATTTATTTATTATTATTTTTAAATCTGAATATTGTCAATTTATTTAGTATAAATCTGTTGATGTTCTTATTATACTTTGTAAATGTATTTATCACTTACATAATTTTTTTTTTTCCAAAATGTTATATGCTAGTCTATCTCAAATTATTTTAAATATACAACATTTACAAGTCATTATATTTTATGCCATTAAGCTTTTTGTTAAAATCTTAAGTTAAAATCAAGACAAAATAATTATTTTAATTTGTATGTGCCAACTATACCTGTTGTTTTAATGTATACTTGTTCATTATATTTAATAATTCCTACTTATTCATGTATTTATTATTAAATATTTTTAATTAAGCTTAAGTCTGTTTAATACATTTATTTGTACAACAGTTGTACAATTTTAGTTGATTGAATTAAATTGAATCTTATATTTATTTAAATTTGTATTTTATTAGTAAGTAATTATGTCAAAGAGTTAAATAAATAAAAATTTAATTAAGTATATTAAAAAAAAACTTATGTAATATAAGTAATATATTACATTATTTTTCTATTATAATAATTATATTGGCTTAAAAATAATTTTAAATAATTATTGATGTCTCCCAATTCTTCTTTACTTTATATTTTGACTTCTGACATACCTAATGCAGGCCAATAACAGTACTTTATTATCAAAATTTTCCGATATGTCAGTCATATTAGCTTCTAATAATAACCTTCATCTGAACTCAAATCAAATCTAAAATCATCTAAAACAAGTAGTAGGTAGAGCAAATAATTAACATATAAGTCATTGCAAGTAAACATCACTTTTAGCTTCCCTCTTAAATTAAATAATAAAGAAATACCTTTAAAACCATGTATAAAATACTCAGGTATTACTTAATATAAAATATTGACATGGTCTAACCATAGAAAAGAAAAATGCGAGCAATTAAATACACACTTCACTTACAATGATCTATTTAAAATCAAAAATTAGTCTTAAAAACCAAAATGTACAAAACTGTCCTTATGCATATATGGTTTTATGATCATTAAATTTGGATCCCTGCTCAACTCTCAAATCCAATCCAAGTTTATTAGACAATTTCTTTATGACTTGTTACAAGTGCTCCCTGGTACATAGCAGTTACTGTTCTGCACAGACTTAATTAAAATACCTAGTTAATGAACTTGCAAAAAACCATTATAAAATATTCCATTACAAATTAAATGTCTCTACAAATCCTCCCATAAATAATATGCATTTCTACATATTTCCTCAATACATAAACCAACAACTCAAAAGAAATTGGTCAAAATATTTACTTAAAAAAAAAAAATTATTTTCATTAAAAAGTAAATATTGTTCAGAAGTTCTATTGATGCATATTTCCCACTTAATGTAATTCATGTTTAACTCTTCTACATTATTTTTCTACTCTATCACTACTATTTAAATTTATAAAATATATATTGTTTTATTATTTTATTTACTATAATTGATTATTTTATTAAAACTAAAAAAAAAAAAAAAAAAAAAATGATTGTTAATAAAAATATAACATTTTCGTTTTCAAAAACCACAAAATATTGAATTTTTCACAATATTATAGAATAATAAGAGTTTATTTAAGTCGTATTGGTATTATTATACTGTTGTAATACTCCGGTAGCTTTTTTGTATATGGTAATGTGATCTAAATATTGTTGAATGGTATCCAGTGGTTGAAATATATCATTTGTACGATTCTGAAAAAATACACAGTATAATATTACTCATTTAACTAAAAAAAAAAAAAAATTATATGATATTAGTTTAATTTTAAAATTTATACAACTTTAGGTATTCTAACAAAATAAATATAAAAGGTAGTAATTAATTTCATTATGAGATCTAAGGTTTTGTAAATCATTAAATATATTTTAGTAGTGGTGACTTAATCTTTTATTTATCAATATAAAAATAAACCAATTAAGTTTGTATAGTTTCATACTATGCTCTTCAGTGAAATGAAAATCAGGAGTATTGTAGTTAAGCAAGTCATATCTAGAAATGTCACCCTAATTCTCCTTGAACCTATCATTTATGTATACTCAATTTTTTATTAAAATCCATATTTTTTTATGAATTTACTCAAGAAAAATCACTTACTGTTATATCAATAATGCATATAAGAGTAACTTGGTAAAATTGTTAACTATTATTAACTTTAATTAATTTTCTGCTTAAAATGAATTAATAATTTTTTTGAATATCTAAATTATTTTAAGTTATGACTAAAATTTATAAATTTACAATTGGTTTTGTTTCTTCAATAAATAATATTTTATCTAAAAATACTTTTTATTAATCTTATTAATTAATTTAAATTATTAGATAGATTTTTAAACATATGGAAAAAAAAATTAACTCATAAAATTATAATTACTTGAAAATAATGTGGAGGAACATTTGACACACATGATCCTAAAAATCCTTGTAGAAATTCTCGTAACATATCCCAACACAAGCCAAATACGACACAAGGCCTGTACTCTGCCTATAAATAAACGTTGAAGAATTTTAAAATAAAAAATTATGAAAAAATAAATATTACTATATATAATTCTATAATTATATATAGTAATATATATTTTTAAATACTAAAAAAACAAAAAAAAATTGAACTTTATTAGCTTTTAAAATTCTACAAGCTAAATGAAATAAAATAACTATTTTAATAGAGTTATATAATATTATAATAAAAAACTAATCATCCTCAATTCTTACCTCTACAATGATGCCCTTGACATTGTGATTGATATTTATTGCACCAATTTTAATGACAAAATCATTCAGCTCAAATCGAGGACCCCTTATTTCAACTTTGGATTTTTTGGAAGTGTACACAGAAGACATCTTCATCAAAAGCAAATCAAACAACCCATCTGCCACAACAGGCACTGTTTTTCCATTACCGTTATCGAGAATGGCAAACACCGATGCCGGTTGTTCCGAATTATGAAACACGTGTAACGTTCGCTGGGTACCTAGAAGGAAATGATTTTCAAAATTAATAAGTGTATCGGATCGACATAAATATTTCATAAATAATCATCACCTAATTGCGGTATGGACGCGTAAGTTTCGCAATCGACGAGAAACGTACCACATTGTTTGGCACCAAGTGCATTCACCCTTTTTGTAAGAAATTCAATTATCTGGGCGCCAGTGCGATTTTCTTTCATAGGGAATTGTTGCAATCTATGTAAACAGAAAGAGAACAAAATATTAAACCGTTGGTCACTGTTAAATAGTAAGATAAATGGTAAACAATTAGATATACAAACATTGTGACGCCCATGTTTGCTCGTTGAATCAACTCCCAGAAAAAATACGAACAGTTGTGTTTTTGTATCGTTACATGTTACAAAAGCGAAAATAGTTAAATCAAATCCGCAACGCGAATAACGAAACGTTTTCAACAGTCGGTTTTTTCAATCAATAAACATTGCTTATCAGTTATCATCGTCTGTTATCACTTAAATTGTTTATATTTACGAAAAACAAAATTGACAGCATGAACCGTTTTTAAAAGAAAAAATAAACTATACCTAGGTACTTCTAACGAACTGTAGACATATCACATAACTAGAGATCGGATCTTTAGGTTTTTACATATTTTTATTAGCTTTATGCAGATTTACGAGGATAAAAAATCTATCCATCATAGAGTTCGTAGGAAAATATTTATTTTGTATATTTTAGCATATTTTGGACATTAGAGAATATTTAGCCTATTTTTCATACTTTTGAATATATTCAATTATTGTTTACAAAAAAGTATATTTTATTAATTTCTCGAGTTGTGATTTTTCTAGGAAAAAAAAATTTGATTGTTATATTTATATTCCTATGTACGAAACTGTTATTCATTTTTCCATTTAAATAATTTATCTTTTACCAAGGAATGGTGCCTAAAAGTTGTTCATTGTTTTTATTTAACTATTTTGTTTTTTATATATAATTTTATTGGTAATCGGTTAAAATATCCAAGGACAAAATATCCAAATTTATCCGTTTTTCTAAAAATTAGTATCAAATTATTTAATTGACTTGTTGGTAGCAATATCACAGCTACTTTTGATTATGACCGTTATGGGTATTGTTAAATTGAGATATCATTCCGTTTTGACTTCTAGTTTTTACTGTTGAGTTTGATAAATTTCCCAGTAACAGTAAATTGAACGAATATTTAAACGTTAATAAGTCGCAAACGGATTACTGAAATTAAATTCTGTAAACGTTAAAATTATTTTTTTCAGTATGTTTATAAATTTTCGCTATCGAAAATAGGTATTGCCATTTGAAAATCGAAAGTTGATAGTGTTTTATCAAATAAGGGAGGAAGTTAAAATTATCAAAATTGTAACACAGTGTAAAATAGTAAAACCTAGAAAGTTTAAAAAAAAATTATTTTAAAATTCCTAATACTTCCCGAGATATTAACTGGTTCACGATAAAAAAAATTACCCTGTATTTTGTGATATAATGATTAACGTAATTTATTATACTTTTAGTAATATATAGTGTATATAGGTTGAATTAATTTTATGAGCTAATTTTTATAATTTAATATTTAAGCTAATATTTTCAGAAAATTTAGGTTTTTTTTATGTTTAAATAATTTGATATTTGAGCTAGTTCTATTAGAAAGTAATGTACTAATTTTCGGGAAAACGAATAAATTTGGATATTTTGACCTAGATTCAATTTTATTATATTTATGTATGAAATGTTTTAAATTTTTATATTTAAATAATTAACCTGTTACCAAAGGAATAGCCCATAACAGTAATTTATTGTTTTTATTGAACTATTTAAGAAAAAAAATCATATTATCGCATATTTACATATTTAAGGAATATTTAGAAAATATTTTAAGGTTTTTTTAGAGCATACTAGCATCATATTTTATGCTTTTAAGAACCTAAAAATCCGATCTTTACACATAACACTATAATAAATTGTTTGTAAAATATAAATCTGTATATACCTACGTATGACAAATGTATAGATGAGTTGCCAATAGAAAGAATGTTGGTAAGTAAAATAGATTTATTCTTAATTTGTAATTGTACTGAGTGACCTTTTACAGTAGAAACCGTTAACCATACTCAGTCCAAGGTGATTTCGACTACTGGTATTTGTACTATGATGTAGTCAATAGTAGTGACTTCAAAATGTCTTCTTGTATAGAAGAACAAAATCGTGAAATTTTTGTGCATTTTTCAATGTTTTTTTTTTAATTTTTAGGATATTTAAGGGAATTCATTAACTTGTTTTATTGATGTTTGATTTAATTAATATCAAATTAAAATATTAAAATTTCAGTTTTTTTTTGCATTAAATGTTAAGATTCTTTTAGATCGTTTTATAAATGATAAATTATATACCTAATAAAAGGTTAGGGTGAACACTAACAATTAATATTATTGTTCTCAACTGAAAAATATTTATGATGAACTTTAAGAATTCCGTAATCTTTCTCGAACCTAGTAACGTATTTAAGGGTTTTTGAGTGTCCCTTGCAGCAAATTCCTAGGAGAATATTGATTTTAACGAGCCTTTCACTTTTCAATAAAATTACATTTCTCATCAGGGGTAAAATAAATTTATCTTTACCTTCCATAATGATGGAAAATAATATTGTAACAAGAATCACACTACTTTTTATACTAGTTATATTTTTCTAAATATTTAAACATGGCGATTAAAATTTTTTTTTTCGATCTCAAAGATTAGTAGGTTGTTGAATGTCATCCTCATAACTATTCACGGGCGGTACTGGTTTGCGCACAAATATCAAAAAGACAACTTGTTTGGGCACAAAACTACCCCTCGTTTGGGAACAGCCGAGTCATAATCATAGACATGGTTTGCGCAAAGTTATCTTTTAGACTTTAATAGTTTAATACCTTGCATATTAATATTTCTTTATTATTAAAGTACTTGCATACATTTTCCTTCCCTCTTAACAGACTTAGGACTGTCTATGAATGTATTTATATATGTGGTTAAAAATGTATGTTGATTGCTTATTAATAATTGTAATAAATAATATTTAATACTTGTTCAAGTTAAAAATGCATGTTAATTTTAATTTTAATATAATATGATTGGTATATATACGTATAGGATAATATATACGTGTCTATTTTTTTGCAATAAAAGTTTCCCATTATTTGAATGTATTTAATTTGGTCTATTTCGTCAGATGTATATTTTGTTTATTAGTTTATGCGATGTTCAACTGATTCTATTGACTCCTTACGGAGATAATTATTTATATTATTGTTGATTGATGTTATTTTTAATTCTGTTTCGCTTTGTATTTTAAGAATTACGCTTATTAACCTGGTGTATGTGGGGATGTGGAGGGTAAAATTGTTGGTTAAAATGTCTATGAAATGCTTCTACACCGTTCGTAGTTCGAGGTTCGTCTTTTCGATGTCGTAGGATTAAATTTTGAATCGGGAAATATATATGTTTCAAGAAAGTAGTTGGAAATGAAAAATCTGACGTTGGGCAATCTGATATTAATTGTGTAAAGGCATCTTTTACTTCTTCTGGAGGTAAATACGGCAAACTAAAAAAATTTTTAAGCCAATTACCAATATAGGAATTTTTGTTATTATACTCAAGTAATAATTGTTTGTTACATTGAATGTGCCGAAACTAACTTTGAGCTAAATGAAAAGTACAAGCCACAATTTTACAATCGGGATAAAGATTTAGTAAAGCATTGTGTGCGGATATCTCAAAATCTACATGGAACTCTTTAATATTTACTTCTTGGTTAAGCGTATAAACACAAAGATCCTGAATTCTTATCCACATTGTATTATACGTTGAAATTGACTTACTCTTCAAAAAAATATTATTTTCGTGTGCGCAAACCAGTTGTATATTTAACATAACCGTGTGCACAAACAAGTTCCGATTTTTCAGGTACAAATTATGAATTGTGCGCAAATAAGTTGCAGCCCTATTCACAAGTACTCAAGCATATCGTACTAGATTCCCTGGAAGGCGTGCTGGTAACCTTAAATTCCTTTAAAATTATTAAATGGACAGATTTTGACATTCACCTTACCTACTCTTTCTAATTCCTTTAAATGTTCCTCCTCGCTTCATTCGTCAACACACCACTTTTAATTTACCAACCTCCTCCACTAATTATGGTTTAAACGAACCGCTTCGTCGTTGTCTGATTATTGCCAATTATAACCCCTCCTTTTCACTCTCTTAAAAATCTACCAAATATTTTTTCCACTGCATATCACACTAGTATTATAATTATTGGATAAATATAAATTATAAATTGAACACATGT